TAATAGTAATAGATAATACTTTTATTGCCCAATAGCTATAACAACTAATTATGGACAAATCTAAGGCAGTAGTTAAAACTGTCCATTATTTGATTTTTAAAATGAGGTTTTTCTCGTCACTGGAATCACTAAAAAAAATACAGTTCCTGACACAATCAATACCCCTCGGATGCATCACCCGTAGTAAGGTTCTCCAATTTTGTTCATCATCCTTTCTAAATCTGGGCAGATTATTTTAAATGTATTTGCAAAGTTATGAGTCAGAACTATATCATGTGTGTTAATGGGCTTGCTACAGTTAAGGCGATTAGGTGCCAGTGTTTTGCACAAATATAATAATAACAATAATAACATATAACATAAAGTAACAAGTTAAAAAGTAATCGTAAACGATTTACAAAAAGCGCATTTCCACTTACATTCATTTCCCATTTTTAAGATGCAACTTCTGTTAAAATCGTAAAAATCCGGCCACAAATATGAAAGATAGCGTTGCAAATGTGCAATCCATTTTTGACGTGCTACTTCAATTTCAGTTTATAAGAAAAATTTCATTTCAATGCTCTTCTAAATAAGAAAGTTGGAACTGCGCATGCGTAAATCTAAATTTTGAAACTAACGTTAGATTTTCCTTTGTTCCAAGCGCCGATGTATCAAATTTTATTTAAATGCTTCCATAGATAAAAAAGTTAGCATTGCGCATGCACAAAATAAAATTTTGAAACTGGCGTTTGATTTTCCTTTATTCCAAGCACCTATGTATCAAATTTCATTTAAATGCTTCCATAAATAAAAAAGTTGACACTGCGCATGCGGAAAACTAAATTTTGAAACTGGCGTTGGATTTTCCTTTATTCCAAGCTCCTATGTATCAAATTTTATTTAAATGCTTCCATAAATAAAAAAGTTGGCACTGCGCATGCGCAAAACCAAATTTTGAAACTGGCGTTAGATTTTCATTTTATCCAAGTGCCTATGTATGAAATTTCATTCAAATACTTTTATAAATAAAAAAGTTTGCAACTCGGTTTATAAATGGTCGAGATGCGAAAAGGGCACTGTGAATTTTGAATCCATTCGACTCAACTTTTGGCATTGCGTATTATATGGCTAAAGCTATGCCCATATTGAATTTCATGCAGTTCAGTTCATAACTAACGGAGATATCAAAGCGATCGGACATTTCTAACCAAAGTTATCGTTCACACGGCCAGATAGAGGGACAGACAGACAAAGGAACAGACGGACAGACCAACAGACAGACGACAGACAGCAATACAAAATTATAAACGATTTCTAGGATCGTTAATAAACGGCAAAACTGTAAAATTATGGAACATGTAAAAAAAGGTTTGTTGTTTTTTTACAATAACTTTTTTAGCAATAAACGCAGAAAAAATTCCTTCCTTGGTGCAAGCCTCGACACCATAACGAACCAAATAGCGAAAAACGTAGAACAATAGATCTTAAGATAAAGAACTAGTAGCGTCTCAACAAACGAGCGGACGGACGGACGGACAAAGTGGCCACAATAGCGCATTTTTTTGATTTTTGTGGAAATGCGCTAAAAAAAATCAGTTTTAAGTACTTACGGGTAAGGAAACCGAGTGGCGAGGTGCAGCTGATCTTCCAACTAATATATGCCATAGCGTTATAGCCAATTGCCTACTCAATCAATACACATAATTAGGATAACTAGGGTTTTGACGATTTTGTATCTTTTTTTCTGAAAATCTGAGACATTGCTGCGTTATATACAGGGTGGTGACTTGCGCAACGCATCATAGGGATTTCAATGTAAAATTCATAACATGCGATTATTGGCTCCCCAAATTATTTTAGAGCAAAAATGTATTAAGGTTTTTTGTAGAAACAAATTTTTTACGTCAATAAACCGTATTAGTTTTCAATTTTTTGCATAATAAAGACGGAAAATTGGAAAAATAAAACCCCCATCTTATCAATAATCTGTGATGCCATGGAATTTTCTAAAACAAAAAGATATCCAATTATCAATTAGCAGCCGTTCGAAATGGATTTTATGATCGACTTGGTTACTGTCTTGCATTTAATGGGGACTTATTCGAACATTTATTGTAAATTGTTATATTAGGAAACCGTGTTTGGTAATTTGGTCTTTCTTTATGTTGAATTCGCTGTTCTAAATATAATACTTTTTGATAGAATTTGATTTGTTTTATAGCAGACATTCCATGGCATGACGGATATTGGCGTAGCTTTTCTATTATAAAATTCCATGGCATCACAGATTATTGAAAAGATGGGGGTTTTATTTTTCCAATTTTCCGTCTTTATTATGCAAAAAATTTAAAACTAATACGGTTTATTGACGTAAAAAATTTGTTTCTACAAAAAACCTTAATACATTTTTGCTCTAAAATAATTTGGGGAGCCAATAATCGCATGTTATGAATTTTACATTGAAAACCCTATGATGCGTTACGCAAGTCACCACCCTGTATAACCGTGTTTCAGGATAAATTGAATCAAATGACAGCAACTTGTCGGTGCATTTTTTGCCATTTTTGAGGAATGGGTCATTTTTTGGTAATTTTTATGGTATTTTTAACATTTTTCGAGTTTTTGTGTGTTTTACTTTGAATTTTTTTGCATTTTTACGGTATTCTCTTGGCGAGCTTATGAAACCTTTTTCAAGTTTTATTTTTCATGCAGTAGTAATTCTTACATGGGATTAAATTTGTTTGGGATGCGTAAATGAGTCAGTAACTTACGTACCTGCTTTCTACGACGGGCCTGCAGAGGGTGGAAATGAACCAACAATAAAATTCCTGTGTTTATTACCTAATTGCTTCTTAAAATAATTTTGCGGTCTTATTCAGTTTCATCAATAAATTTATTTGTTATTTAAAATGTCATCTTTATAAATTTTTATGTCATTTGTGCGAGATTTTTAAGTCGCTGATTTTTAACGGCATTAAAATCCTAGCCCTACACATAAATACTCGTAAGTTTGCACAATATGCCCTGGCAGAGGATGAAAATTTAACATGTCCAAATTAAGTTAGGCGCACTTTTTGTTCAAATGATTGGTTTTACGCAGCAAACATTTATGTTTCTCATTGAAATTGAGATAATTCCTCGATGCTGAGATCGTTCAATATCTGTGGGCAGAAGCTTTCTTTAGGAAGGAAATTATAGGCGAGTGTCAAACAGTATTTCTGGGAAACTTTTGGGGTGTAACCTGTTGTTAAACGTCGGGTATACATTAGTTAAAGTTAAAGTCATCATTGACTATTTTAATGTATAACGTAGAACGCATAATGTATTCCGGGAAGTATACCTAATGTGTATAATTTTTCTGATGTACTTACGCAATTATGAAGTTCATTCATGCCAAAGTTCCATTGAGTAGGTAAATACGCGGCGTAGGGAAGTTGTTAAAATGTAAGTATAATTATCCTTTTCTTGCTGTTCTAATTTAAAGTGGAGAAATTGGTCCTGAGTATATCAACGGAAAACGGAAAAGAACCATATCAAGGGAAACTGAGATCATTTGGTTTGACTTACGCCTACACATTGAGTATTGGGAGACATGCTATATTTATGCTAGATTAGGCAAAAATTAATCCACGTGTAATGACCAATCTTATCTAATTGATTTACAATTTTGTTTTCATCCACGGATAATAGTATCTTCAATTCAAGCGGTGGCTAACCTTGTTTGTTTGTTTTGGTGATTTCATTACTAATTAACAAATTCGAAGTATAACAGACGTTTGGGAAGTTTTATGGTAAAGTTCCCTTTGGCGGTATTTACGAGATTATTAACGTTAGTCATTCAATTTTTTATGCTGATGATTAAAGGCATATCCGTGTATGGCGATGGGGTAAGTGTAAACAAGAGCTCAAAAGTGAATATAATTTTTCCAAAGCGTGCAGAGGCAATTAGTTTAGATATAATTATTAAGTTAATCGTGCTGAATCATACTTGGTGTGTATGTTTTTATAAGGGGTTTCCATAAATGACGGATAAGTATGTTACATTTTTGGTATGAATTAAATACGTGATGCATACATGCTGTTGACACGAGGGATCGCTCCTATGACTCATTAATCCCAAGAAGCAACAAAAAAAACCACGAACAAAAGGTTTAGCGGAGTAAATAAAAAATGCCGTCGTTGTGGAAGTAGCCAGGGAATTTCGTTTTCGTCCTTCGCTCTGTCTGTGACGTAACAGTCAGCCTGATCACTCACCAGTGGTACTTGCAAATGACGCATGCTTATCCCCCACCTCCATGAACGTATCATTCAATAAACATTTCAAGATAGAAACATTTCGTTTGTATACTTCGGCGTGTTATAGTAGGTAGTGTGTAGTCCATTGTGTTCAGTTTAGTGCTTTCAAAATGAGGATAAAACGACCCAGCTCTTGTTTGGTACTCAGATTTCGGCCTTTACAACATTCATTAAACAGTAAGTTACTTCATTCATTAAATTTACCAAAAGCGATCTGCGATGGTCCTTACTTGCTCTAGGATTCACCCCCTATGCCTCTATGTCTATAATATTAGCATAGTAAAGGAATTATCATTTGGAATTGACCGAGAAACCTGCAGGAAATTACTTACGTATACATAAGTAATTTTCTCCATGTTTCTATCTAGGTCACTTCGCTTTCTGAAGGGAGGAAAAACATTAATTAAAAATGCATTCAACGAATGATGATTAATTTTGAAATTATAATTGGTGTTGCATTATAATTTAAAAGACGTGCTGCAGTTGTTTTCTTTGCCATGTGCGTCACATTGCCCTGTCCTACAGGTGAAGAACTACGACTCCCGGAGGGATAGCAAAAGATTATTAGCAAGTTGACATTTATAGGTATGACCTCGGTGGCTGCTGAATGCACTTGACCAAATGCACCAATTGATGTAAACAAACCCAATCAAAATATATGATATTATTAATTAATACTGATTCATAGTACAAAAGTTAACATTGTTAATCTCGTTTTTCAGGAGGCCATCGGGAATTTCACAGAAAGCACAAGGATTTATGCGAAGATACGTTAGTTTCCGGCCTGTCCTCACGAGGACTTCCGTCATCTGCATCGTGTCCGGCGTTGGCCGACATCGATTCTCATCCGGCATCCCGCATTTTACCCTTTCTTTACGTTGGAAATAGTAAAGACGCATCCGATCTCTCCTGCCTACAAGACTTGGGTACCTCTTGCGTTCTTAACGTTACATCGTCGCTCAACGGATACCACGAAGAATGCGGAATTACGTACAAACAAATACCGGCCTCAGATTCAGGACATCAAAATTTAAAGCAATACTTTGAAGAGGCGTTCGAGTTCATAGGTAAGGACCTGCACATGCTTTCCTTTCTATCGGGAAACGATGTTGATAAAGGTTTAATATATGGGAACGCTGAGGTAGTAAGAGTAACGAAAGTAGTCTTCTTGTTAACCTGCTGGATTAATAACCGCCGCGCGTTACTACAAGGATTTGGCGGGGTAACGGCCTTGTGAATAGTTTTGCGTCAGCAAGCATTACTCATCGCACTCATTGTTACTGGGGGCCGTTATCCGTCGTTCCCGTGACTCACTCAGGCTGTATCCCGGTGGTGCTTGAACCATATGCACACATGACATGCATCGGGTTAGGTGCCCTCTTGCCTGAACGCTCTTATACATTGTGTTTTTACACAACGGACATCCAGATTCAATTGATAATAGAGCTCTGAATTGAAATCACACTATGAATTAGAGTTGCAATAGGGGAACTAATCATAATACAATTTTGAATCATCAGGGGCTGTAGGCTATTTATTCGACATCTACTGGGGTGATGTTGGGATAAGTACGCTAAACGGCCAACCAACAAACACGCCATTAAAACAGTTTCGTAAGCAATCTCTTTTGGGGTGGCATTTCCTAATAAACTCAAACTTAATTAAATGTTACCAATTTTTCTTAAATTTCTTCTAGAATCCGTGTTTGATATTGGCTTAAAATTTATATACCTACCATCATAATTTCGTGTCTGTGATGTGTAAAAACTATAACAATATTTTTGTCTTGAAATTGTGTAACCATGGTGACAGATCCACGCTACTTGTGGCGATAAACATTATTGCACTCGTATATTGCGCCAACTTTCTATGCATGAAGGCAAGGATAACTATTACACGCGTAATTTCCTTTTAATCTTTTCGCGCTGTGAAACAAAAGCGTTTAAATCGGTCTATAAAAAATTTACGACTTTAGCATTGAGTATTGCAAATAACCAAAACGTAGATTACTCGACGACAAGACCTGTGCAAACGCCGTGTGCGGGGGCCAATGACTTTAACTACCGACTTCGTTGTAAGGGTCGGGATTCGAAGACATTTCCTTTGTAATCTCTGTAGTCAAATGAAAATCAGCGGAATCTGACTACCTGCTCTACGATGGGAAAGCATTTTCATACTTTGGAGTCTGGTATATTTCAAAATTTACTACCTGCTCTAAGACGCTAAAGCTGAAGTAGAAAATTTGTCACGTTTCTTTCTTCAGTAAAAGAAATTTTATTCAGTAAGAGAAAGTTTGAAATGCAGAGCTTATATAAAATAGTGACATAATTCTAAAGAATGGCCCCCTTTCTGTTATTCTGCTTTCCGTATTTCCTTATTTTGAGATTCACTAAAATCCAAACATAATTTGTACAAACCGAAAAGCTCTTCGTCCATGGTATTTGTTAAATAGCGTTAGTTAAACGACAGTCTGGTAACAAGTAGGCTAAAAATGAGGTCTGCGTAGCATCGCATTTGTACTAGCCCTAGCGTCATGGTCGGTTATGCTGATGCACCTACGTTCTGGAATTGTTTTGCGAAATTCGTACAAAGATAATGATTTTTTGCAAAATTTTGTAAAGTAAGGACCATAATGTGTAGCTGTCGTACCTACTGTCTGTGCAAAAAGTATGCAAACTGGAATTGCAAGCCTATTAAAAATAAACCATTCCCCGAATTTAAATCTGTCGTTACGTTCTAAAAAATTTCTGAAAGATATTTGAACTCGGGCGCGAGTCGCAAAATGTGTCCGTTTTCGTATTTGATTACAAGCCTATTCAAGACTTTGAAACCTTTATTTCTTATTAGGCGTCAAACTCGAGTCTACATACATTAAGCCTTAAGGTACGTAATGCACATGCGAGCCGAACCGTTCGCGAACTGATCGACAACTGTTCTTTGAAATTATTTTTACAACGAACTTCCAACGATCTATGGAAAAGTCGAACCGGCCGCTAATCAGCTACTCCATATATAAAGCTCGCGAGCGGAAGAAAAACAACGAACGAAAAGAAAACAAACTGTTCGCCAAGAACCGCTCAGGAACGGTTCGCGAGCGCCTACGAATTCATTCACGAACGGTTCGGCTCGCATATGTATACGCACCTTTACATAGCGATAGCTATAAATCTGAGAATGTAGGTACATATTTGTATAGCATTCATGTTTGGTCGAAAGTATTGTGTGTAGTTGTAGACTTAATACCAAGCTTAATACCTGTAAAATAAGATTCTAGCACGGGTATTAGGTACACTATGACATGAAAAAATGATCTGTTTCCGAGTCCAATTTATGGAAATGAAATGAAAGAAATAATTTTAAAAGCAAAAGCATAACAAAAAATTGCAAAATTACTTTTACATAAATCATTGATACTATCCATGAAAAATTTTTTGTTATCTTCGAGACTCTCCACAAAGCATGGTTGGGTAGGAAGGCAAATGCGCCATTGTCATTTCATTCGTGAAACTGCAACAGTTTATCACTTGGACATTGTTTGTTCCATGGCCTAATAAGACTATTAGGCCATGGTTTATTCAACAACTTACTCCGCGTATTGCTACTTTAATAGGCGTGGAAACCCAATTATTAAAATCATCTCACTGAAAAGGGTAATGTATGCAATAAATTAAAAAAGAGATCACTTATTCATTATGTAGAAGAGGTTGTGAGTCACCCATTTGATAAACGTTGACGGTGTCAATAACTGAAGATAATTATGATTCAGCAGACTTTGTATTCCTTTTCTTAATTTGTAAAATGTTTTTGCTCTTACATTGTTATAAATTGTTATCTTTTTTTGCAGAAGAAGCAAGGAAGAAAGGAACACGTGTATTAGTTCATTGTCAAGCAGGTGTATCCCGTAGTGCAACAATAGCAATTGCGTACATAATGAAATATAAACAATTATCGATGATCGAAGCATATAAAATGGTAAAAGCGGTGAGGCCCATAATATCTCCAAATCTAAATTTCATGGGTCAACTTTTGGAGTTAGAACAGAGTTTGAGAAGTAGCGATAGTGAATGTAAATCGCCATGTCATCCGTATCGGTGGAGTCAGCAACAGAGTGAAGAAGTCACGCAAGGCTGCAGTGTTTAGTTTCGGATTTATAGACATTACGGGTAGCATTGAATGTATATAGTGCCTCTCAAATTTTATATTTAGTCAACTCGCCATCGGATCTAATTCTAGTCGCAAATTTGGTATTAAGGCTGTGTAACCAGAGAAGATATTCATTGTAAATATAGATGGTACCAATAATTTTAAGGCTGTACTGGGTCAAAAGAGTAATTATCCAATTTAGTTCAATGGGAGAATAGAGTTTATTTTTGAGATGCAGTTATTGTTTAAATAGTCTGAGCTGCTGTAGCTGTTAATGGCTGAATTCACTTACACATTAAATAGTGTCGTATTAGTAACAAATAGGCTGAAATAAATTAAGAATAAGTTTATTATTATTATGCTATTTCTAACGTACTTTATTATTTGAATCTGTTAATCTAGTAAAGAGCAGCGTACCAATTTATTAAAGAAAAGTTATATAAAAAGTTACTTTTATTTTGAAAATGTTGCCAAATATTTAATTAAGCCGAATTCATAAAGCAGCAGTACATTTTTAAACATTCTCATAGTGTTTTAGATAAGGACGATTTAGTGTTTTTTTAAGTTTGTAAAGTTGTCATGTTTGATTATATGGCAGGCTGCATCCTAGTAAATGGGATAAATATTTATCAATATGGTGTACAGTATAATTTATTTATTTAATCGAAATGTTTGCATATTAATATTGCAATGTACAATTACAGACTTGTGGGATGATTACCACAATTGTTGTGAACATCCTCAACAGAGTGAAAAGGTGTCAAATATGTTAGCCTCTGTGAAATGACATTCATTTTTTAACTCTTGACAAATAAGTTAATAATTTATAACAAAATATTGAAACTAACTGAACGAAAATGAAAGTCGATAATGACATTTTCACAGATTGTTTATAAAACTTGTGCCTTTTTATTTTAAAACATGTGTTTTATACCACCATTACAAAAGCTGTCTTCTGTAAAATTGCATAATAAATTATGATAAATTTGTAATTTATTATAATGTTTTAAAAGTATTGTAGAATGTATACTGTATAGGTACCTATTACATTTACAACTGTATATACCTATGCAATGGAAGTATTGATTCCTTAGGAACATTGTAATATTTCTTCATGCTGTTAATGTTGAGCAACAAACCTGAAAAAATAGACTGCTAACGTCGTCGATTTGTGATTGCACAAAAATAAAGTGATTGAAAATGTGTATTTCATTAATCATTATAAAGTTTGTGAAACAAACTGCTACAACACACAAGGGCATTTAAATTTTAGTTCAAATGCACTAGTTTTGCTTTTAGAACAACATGTACTAAATTATTTCGTGGTCAATTTCAATAAATTCAATTACAAAAACCTATTGGCAACATTCCCGACTATTGCAGCTTCATCTTGTTATATACTTAGAAGGTATTCTATTTCATCTTATTATGCAAATTTTAATTGAAGTTATGAAATAAATACATATCCTTTAAAATGTACAACACCAATAGTATTATATAGATATATCTTACGAAGAAGCGTATTTAATTACACCTACTTAATGTACACATTGTTTTGTTTACAGTTGGAACTAATAAAATCTAAACTTACCAGTAATTTTGTATATAATTGACAAGGCTAGTGAGGCCTTTTCTGAGGTAACCTACACGATAGACTAGGAGGGAGTTATGAGATTTAAACTGCCCCATTCGTTTAGAAACATCAGCAAAAAAAAATGTGCGTTGATATATCAATTTCACTTTTCAGTAGTATATTTTTGGTACATTGCACAACCAATTGTCACTTTGTAATCCCATGGACATTCATATCTAGCTTTAAGTCTCTCCTTTGTAGTGACATAATGTAAAAAAGATCTTAAACTTCAGGGGGCCATAATAAAACTCTTAGGCACCTAAATATCACTCTAAACTGTACAGCAATTCCACCAGACATCTTACTGCCCTCATATAACTACACAATGGGTCGGTTAATGCTACATAGCGTATGTATCAAACATGTCCTGTTTCAGGGGCGGACTGGCACGGGGGGACGGGTGGCGATTGCCACATGGCCAGTTGGAAATTTATAAGTAAGTGCTGTATTTAGTTTCTTGCACTATTAATAAATTATTAACACGTTTCTCTAATTGGGGTTGATGTTAGGTTGTTAAAAAATTGTGTTTTAATTGAAGCAGGGCCGTAGCCAGACTGTATAATGAGGACAGGCTCACAAACATTCAGGACAGGCGGCCTATTCCTGAACGATGACAAAAGAAGCATACATTTATACCATTTTTGGAATAAACGTGTGATTACTATGGCACTGGTTCAAGATTACGTCAAAATTGCGTTACAAGCGTATACAAACTTGTTCCAATGATATCGAGAATATGCCCCCAGACTGAAATCTAAAATGTAAGCAATGTTCCACATTTTGACATTTGGGCGAAAGCCTGTTGAGGGCCCAGAACAAGAGGGGCAATACATAAAATAAAAAATATAAAAATAAACGAGACTGTCGCCCTGTTATTTGTCCCTGAAAATGACTTACAGGCCACAATAACTAAAAAAATACTGGCTTTATTTTCATAAGCACTTTTTCAAATTTTTATTTTGCAAATAACCACTCGGCTGACCTAAATTAACAAAAAAATTCAAAATTTACTACGTTTGTGAACACACGTGGTAATTTTTTTAAAAAACAATTACAATAATCATCTAAAATGAAACCTAAATTTCTCAAAATGACCTACTACTACATTAAATGTACCCTGAAACCAATTTAGTGCTCATCAAACAGCACAGACGATAGTAGGTATCAAATGTCACTTATTTTTAAACACTTGTTCTACCAAGGTAAGCAATCCCAATCCTCTACGTTTTATATTTAATATCATGCTTGAAAAAAATACGACAAAATAAAGTACTTAGTACTTTGCATTGCGTTTTTTTAAATTAAAACAAAGTTTTTAATCGCCAGATTAACTTTTCTCAATCGTCCTCGTATATGCAGTTCGCGCATGCACACATTTAATATATGCGATATGTTTGTTTTTAATCGAAGCGTCTATGGTTAAAATTTTTCAGAGATTTTCATCAGAAAAAAAGATGTCATTTTGCAGTTTGCGCATGTTTGCCTTTGTAAATGACATTTGTAGTTTTCGATTTTTACGACATGTGATATGTTTTTCTTTACTAAAAGCATCTATGGTTAAAATTTCGAAGAAATATTTTCATAAATAATGAAGTTGGGACTGCACAGAATGCGCATGCGCACATCTAATGTTTACAATATGAGATATGTTTGCTTTCGTTGGAAAATGCGCTAAAAGATCAAAGCTTCACCAAATATTTGTGATAAACCTTCACGAGACACCCTCGGCCATTTGAGATGTTGATATATCGCACTTCTATACCAATAGACATTGCAGCGTTGCAGGTTTTAAAAAACATGTTATACATAGATATGTTCGTTTAATTGATAACCGCAACATCGTCAATAGTAATAATTTTCTGTGTTATTATATATTTTTAGCAGACTCGTAAACTCCAATGAGAAATTCGGAAATCTGGCTAGGGCAGGCTTACAATTTTTCAGGGCAGGGTTCAGCCTGCCCTGGCGTGCCCCTGCCTACGGCCCTGAATTGAAGTGTTTTACAATGAATTTATCATTTTTTGTCGTAGCATGAAAGTGCTAAAATACAATGATAGGCGACGCACCTCGTGTGGATTGTATATTTTGTTACTTGTAATTATCAGTTGCAATTAAAAAAAAAACTGTATGGTAATTGATTTTCGAGAAAGCAGTAGGTACTTTAAGGGGGATCTCACACAGTTCATTTATGAGCGTTTGCAGAGGTTTCATAGAAAAATTCCCCAGACTTTAGTTTCAATCACTTAGTGCTAAATGATACATCGATCTCTTCGCAAGGAAATTTGCGATGTTTCTATAGTCACACATTTTTCAAATTTATTGCAATATCAAGTGAAATATCGTGTTAAATATAGCCAAAATGTGTCACTCTTCATACGTAGAATTTTGCATTATGGAAATAAATAATCAAAAAAGTGTTACTATAGAAACATAGAATTATCCTTCGTCTTTTCAACAAAAAAAAAATTGAAAAGATCTGTAAAGAAATACGGCCGTGACAATCTTTCCACGAAACGTCTACCGTGTATGGATTGTATGAATTTTACTTGCTGTTGAGTAGCGCCACGCATTCCGAGTTTTAAAACTAAACTGGACGTATTAAGATCATTTTGTGGGAAGGAATATTTGATTTGTCAATTCTAAATTAGAGACTACTTGCAAAAGGATTAACAATTTTAGTTCAAAATGCGTCTTCATTTAATGATTTAAATGCAAATCGAGAACACTTCACTCCAGCCAAGGATAGTCTAGATAGTGCTCATAAAATTGAATTAAAAATAAAATTAATTAGCAGTTAGTGTAGTGTATTAAATGTAAAATAAATAAAATTATAAATTATAAAATTGTAACATACAATCAGAGCTGGGCAGTGGGCAGTATTCTACGTTGTAATACTGTGTAGTATTCTGCAGTTACTTTCGAGTACATATTCAAATACTTTGTAATTAAATAGGTACTTTTATGGAAGCAGTATTTTTATTCTGAACTAAAATACTTTAACATATATTTTTTAGTGTTTTACTTTACAAACAATCCGCATATTTCGCATATTCTAATACTTCACCAACAATTCAAATACTTTTCAAGTTAGTGAAAAACTTTGAGAACTATTTAAATATATATATTAAATGGAAAGTATTTAAATACTGTCAGAAGGATTGAAATATTATTCGACAGAAATTCCCCTTATGTGATGGTTTTGTCCGCCCGTCTGTCTGTCTGTTCCTCGTCTAATTGGTGAATGGAAAGAGACAGGGATGTCAAACCTTCACCAATCTATTTCTATGACTTTAAAGATCAATATTGAATATGAGCTGAATTAAAAACCTTATTTCCAAATGCGAGCCGAGTGTCAAAAGATTCCCCTACTAAGAATCGTACGCGATACTTCATAATATGTTGTTTAACGATCGTCAAGAGTTTATAATTTCGTATTACTGTGTCTATCTGTCCGTGTGCATAATAACTTTGTTTAGAAACGTCAGATCGCTTTAAAAATTGGTACTCATGTTCTTAAGGGTATAAGAAAGGTCGCTATTGTTTCAGTTACGAAGTTCAAAAAATAGTGGATGCGTGAACATCTCGAGAATAATTCGGTATTCGACTGTATCGAATTTCTAGATGTGATGATAACGATATTGTTTCAAGCCACTGCACCACGATATGATAAAACTAGTATTTTTAATAGATGCATACATATTGTTTAAACACCGTAATAGGCTACTAAATGTAATCACCCAAAATAACATCAAGTGATCAGGATGATGATGGATAATCTTTTTAATTTTTCAATTATTTGAGTGAAGTATTTGAATACTTTTGACTATATTTAAGCACTTGTCAAAGTAATGAATCACTTTTTAAAGTATTCAAATAGGTACTTTTGATAGATATATAAAAGCCGGCGTTTAAATAAAATTGATGAATTATCAACTTCGGCATGACCTTTAGTTTTCAAACTAAGCCATGCAGGAATAACTCGATAGTACGAAGCTAATGCAGTACTCCCGAAGGCTCTTTATCTAGTCTTATCTAATCTCGCTTCATGTAGATATCGGTAGGTTTATGAAAGGGACTCGAACGAGTTTTGAGTATAATAAAGTTTAGTATATTTTTGGGGACGTTCACCTCGCCCCCATTAATTTTCGAATTATTTCTAAACCCAAAAAAGGCGACATAAATACCCAATAGAGCACAATTGGACCACAGTAGACACAAAAACTAAGGGGGGGGGGCACATTTATATTGTAACCTTCACTTACTGTAGAAGAACGCGTAAATTCTTGTATCAGTTATTCCGAAAAGTCAAGTTATTGGTGTTGGTGCGCATTAATTTCAGTATAATATTTTGAGATGAAATAGACATGTTCGTCAATTTAATCGGAAAGATAACATGAGAAAAGGTTTGCAAGGTAATATCCTCGGTAATATCCAAAGACGTTTAAACATATCAACGATCTTGTATATTAGTTGTAAGCGCTGCGCGATTTAAGGGGAGCGGGGGAATCTCGACGGGCACTCTAACGGCGCGGTGATCGGCAATATCCGACTTGCGGTGGCACTCCTCGCATC